TATATATATATATATATATATATATATATATATATATATATATATATATATATATATATATACTTTACCTATAACTTTTACCTAAATAAGACTCATCAGGACACCTGGTCCTGATGATGTCTGACTGAGAAACTACATTCATCAGCTGAAATTAAATCATAGAACTAAAGTTTAGACGAAATAAGGATGACTTAAAAAAGGTAAACCATTCTCTGAAATAATTGCAAAGTTTAAAGAATAGAAAAAAAGTGTCTGAGTGAACAGAAAAAAAAAACAACGCAGGTTGATCTGTGTTTAAAAATCGTCAAGCCTAAAGGAGAAATTAGATAAAATAAAGGTCAGAGAAGTTCAAGTTAGACCAAAGATATCTAAGGGGCATGAATATATGAGGAGCGTTGAGTTTGTGGTGCTAATGCCGCTGTGCTGGAGTGTGATAAATGGTCCTCCATTAACCTTCATGTCATGGTCCTGACACTGCTGAGCTCCTTCCATCTGTCTCTCTCGTCCTGCTTCTTGACATCCTTTTATTACTTTCCTTTTCTCATTATCACCTCCTCCTCCAATTTTCATACTCTTGCCAAAACTAAAAAGATATGTTTTAAATATTATACGCTACAAAGAAATGCCTCCCTTTAAGGCTCTGTTTCTCTGGTTAGAAAAGCTGAAAGCAGTATGCATTCGCTCTTTACTCTCTTCTAAACCTTAGCCCTGTCTGTTATAAAGGAAGTGAAGATTAAAGGCTAGAAGCTAAAGGATGCAGAAACATTCTTCTTTGTGCCAAGATGGACTCCTAAATAACTGCTCCATGTTCAGTATCACCTGATTGTGAAATATCCGCCTTTGTTTCATCATTTTTTCTTTTTCTCCTCCAGCATCTCTGCGATCAGAGCTGAACCACATCCATGCGTCAGCCATCGAACACCTGCGACAGACCCACCAACAAGAGTCAGCGGCTGCCAAGGCCGAGCTGGAAAAAACCCTGGAGAACAACCGGACACAGGTAGAACCCCAAGAAACGTTAATTTATGCTGCGCCTGCATCCATAATTGTTTTCATTCACGCTTTCATTATCATATAATCATAAAACTCGGCTTGACAGCTGCGGACTGAGCTGTGTTTCAGCACTTAATTGTAATAATCAGTGTGACGTTAATGATTTCTGCCGAAGCTGCCAGCCACCCTCCATGATGAACGTCTGAATCCTCCCAGACGCTGAAGCCCTTTTCTTTGTCGCCGATGCGTGTCGGGGAGATTATATGAGAAAGCTTTCTGAAGTACGCTTTACACTGTTTCACACTCAGTCACTCAGAAAGAAGAAAGTCCCCCATTGATTAATTTAGGCTCCAAACTCTTTTTTTTCTGTTTTAAAGTTTCTGTATTAATTTTTAAAAGGATTACAATCGAACGCATCACATTTTTATTTTCTGCCTTTCTTCAAAAATTCATTTATCTTTCAAAAATGATTTTCTGGCTGAAATCCTGAGGATCTGACCCTGAATTCAAAATGGTTTCCTTCTTCTTTTTGAGCGCCTTGAAAACCCTTGAAAATGAACAGATCAGAGGATGGCTGCGGTAAATGAGGGTGCTGCTGCACCCCCTAGTGGCAAGAGGGAGATAAAAAAAAAATGTTTAAAAAATATTTTGTACAATTTATACATTTCTCATAGATATTTTAGAAAATTATTTTGACTTTTTTCATTAACTATTACGTGTATTTAGATTTTAGGTGACGTTGTCATGGCAACTTTAAACAAGCTAGCTGTCACCAAGTAAAGAGTTATTCCGCTTGTGGCAACAGACTAGTAATTTATATAGCCTAATAACAGAAACGAGGAGTAAATATGCAACAGAAACGCATTTTGTTCAATAACGTTTAAATAGTATAATATAATTATTTCCTTGTGGTTTGCATAAAAGTATTTTGGAACAAATAAAGTCACGTCTGAAATAATTCCACTGACTCAGGCTGCCAGCTGACCAAATCTCAGTGTGATAGTGTTATTATGAGCTTTAATTTATAGCGCATAGATTCACCTGAAAACTGATGGTGTCCCTGGTTGCATGCACTGAAGTGTATACGACAATAAAGTAGTGAATCTCAATGTATGTACTTATTTATTTTATTGCATTTTAATTAGGCCAATGTCCTCATAGTTTTCTTGTCAAAAAAACAAAAACAACATTTTGACAGCAACAACTGTTCAAAACTACTTCCAATGGCCATGGATTAGAGTAATGTAATGTATTTATTTTATTATTTTAGATGTTCTTCTCCAGATGTCCCTAACCTGCTGTAGAAGAAAACTAGTTTGCACAAAGATTCTGCACTCCAGACTTGACTTTCCTGCAGAATTTCCCTCTGTCTTTCATGTTTTCAGAGGTTAAAAGTAGCTCAGTTTGTATCTAAAGACACTTTCTGCCTCTGTGCAGCAAGCTGTGCCTTGGTGGCAACAGATTTCACCCTCCTCAGGAGGAAATACTTCTGCAGCTTCTTGAATAATCTAGAATGTAATGGAGATGTTTTCTTGTGGCTGAGCTTCTTAATTTGGAGCTCCTGATTATCCAAAAAACCGGTTCTTTCAGCTGCAATCTTCTCAGCAGCATTTTCCTGTGAGCAACATCCAGGCAGTCGATATAAAATCAATGTCGATTGTTAGAGTAAAAGTCCAGAATAGGACAAAAACAGTGCTGTGACAGTGTTGTCGCTTCAGTCTTCTATGTCCCCCGAGAGTGATTAGTAACCCCAGTAACAGGACCAGGATCTAAAATGTAATATAAAGTCAGAATTCTGCCTAAAGTGGACGTGCGAAATAAGTACTAATAAGAGCCTGTAGAATCTCTCCTACTCGTGTTTCTGTGCGCTTGTGTTGACTTTCGTCACGCTGAGGGAGGAACCAAACTGAAAAAGTAAGCTGTCAATGATTGGCTACTTTTCAGGAAATCCTGTTTCTACAGCCTATAACTTTTCTCTACAAAAGTAGAATTCTGACTTCTCATATCCGACAACCATCTCTGTCACCAACTGACAGTTTAATTAACATAACGGACATAAAAGATTAAAAGCTCAACTGCAGCTGAAAAGTCAATAGAGATGCTAATGTCTGAATTCATTCAAGCATACCTTTCCTCAACATGAGGCTAATGTTAGCTTAGCTCAGCTCATACACATCTCCAAATTTAACAATAATAATTTTAGATATGAGAGCCCATTGATGACTGTGTTAAAGAAATTGACACAGCTGCCTTGCATCTAAAAGGTTCCGGGTTCAATTCCCGGCCCGGGGTCTTTCTGCATAGAGTTTGCATGTTCTCCCTGAGCATGCATGGGTTCTCTCCGGGTACTCCGGCTTCCTTCCACAGTCCAAAAACATGACTGTTAGGTTATTTGGCTCCTCTAAATTCTCCTTAGGTGTGATTATGTTCTAGCTATATGAGCGATAACTATAAACTAATCTATTTTCTTCAATTGAACACCTATTATAAATATACTGTACTGACTCCTGTTTAGTGGGGTCAGCATTATAAAATCAAACAGGTTTTATAGAAAATGTTCTTCAAGTTAGAGAGACTGACTGATCTCAGTTTAACTTATGCTTCTAATGCAAGCTAACTCAACTCATGTTTGATGAATCATTTGTGCTAAAATGCTATTAAAAAGGTTTTACTGGAGAAACTTTACTGCATAATGGTTGAAAAGGAACATGCACAGAAGTTACTGCAAGATGGCAGGCAATGACTTTAGTCTTTTTACATTTCAGTGTTTAGTCAATTCGATTTTTTTCATGTGTCACCCACAGAAGTTTGAACTTTTAAGGTGTTTAACTGAGTTCCTTAGCAACAGGAAATTGACTTTCTTATTTAATATGGGAAACCATTATCAGCACAGTTAAATAATTTTTTGGCTAAAAGCTTTTGCAACCGCATAAATTTGTTGAAGCTGCTATAAAAGATTTTGGAATTATTGATAAAGAGTTAAAAGCTATGAGAATAGAGAATAAAATAATTTACTCTGTCTTGGAAAAAGGATTCCCTCCATCATTTACTCCCCATATTTATTGCGTTGCAGGGACCTTTTACTGCTTAACATCATTTTGTCTTTCATTTGAAGTCACAGAAATTAGAGGGAGGAACTATTAAACGATGAAGCCTGAGTGTTTTGTAGGATCCGTGCTGCAGGCTCACACACACACACACGGATACACACACCATGGCCGCCCTGCAGGCAGCCTTCCTAACGTTGCTTGTAAATCATCCTAATTACCCCCATACACCACGGGTTCCTCTTTCAGCACCTTATGATTCAGATGTTCTACCAAAGATGAACAGCTGGTTGTCTTTAATTTACCCCACTCACACACCCACCATTGATCCCCCTCATCTTTGGCTGAGGGGATGTGAAGTCAATAAAGGTTCATATCCAAGTGTTGGAGTCTGAACTGAACTGTCAGTCAAGCAGCAAATCAGAGACAACCGCAGCAATAAACATATTCTGTTGCTACACTTTAACTTCCTGGATCCTTTAAAAGTAAATCAGACTGAGCTGTAGCTTTTTGTTTTGGCTCTACCGATGAGAGCAGCTGGATGGAGCGTTTCAAGAGACAAACGAAGGGAAAAACTAATTGAAATTGTCAATTTCACACATTCCCCTGCGGACATCATTGCCTCTGTTGACAGTTACGTCTGACATACCTCATAAACATTGGTTTATTAAATCTCAGCAAGCTCATAAAGAAACTGTCACGCTGTCACCTCTGAGCAGCAACATGCAACTGCTCTGCAAACAGCAACTAAGCAGAAGTCTTTTCCTGTTTTGGCATCTTTTTGCTGCGGCTGAAATCCATATATACTCTCAGAAGACGCCTCAGTTAAAAGCTCGGTGTGTAGAAATGAGGATTTTCTGCTCAGCAGCTCAATATTTCCTTTTCCACAGGTTACTCTCAAGTGGATGAGTCTCATTGATTTTTGGGAGGTATATTAAACAAATGGATGGATCTGAAAGGACAAATAGAACTGCTACCCGTATTCTTTTTTTATGACATTTTATTCTTTCCTTTTTTTGTTTTTCAGTAGAATGATATAAATTCACAGTGAGGTAAATAAGGTAAATAAATAGCCCTATATTGTTTTGACATTTAGAGCCTTTCTTCAGCAAATGAAAAAATAGCCTAATCCTTCGAAACCTGTTAATGTTTTGTCTCTTTTAAATCACAAACTTCAATGTTTATTTGGATTTTATTTGATATCTCTAATGTTTTTCTCTAAAGCTCTACTGTGTCCCTTTTATCCTCTGGGCACCTGTAACCCTCAGGTTTAGCTGTAATAAAGCCACTGGCAGCACTGCGCTGACTGTAGATTAACTCTCTTTTTGTGTTTTGGAATCTGATAGCAGACAACTTTAGAGCAGCAGATTGGCAAACACAAAACCCACTGCAAATATATATGTGATGCCAACAGACAAAACACATGCTAATAAAAATAACATAGATAGACAATAAATATATAATGTAATTATATAATGATATTATAAAATGACAGTGTCACGCACATTCATCCTTGGTGGGGACAGA